TCAGCTTCCCCTGCCCTGGATTTCAGGGGTTTTTTGGGTTTTTTTTTTTCAGATTTCCCTGTGTGTGGGAAACTGCCCTCCCTCTGTGACCCTCACCTTTCCCCCTGCAGTGCACAGCCCAGCTCAGCGGCTGCCCGTGGTCCCTGGGGACACCCAGGAGGGTGCAGAAGGGACGAGTCCAGGCTCAGCCATGGACTGTCTCAGCCTGCACCGCTCCTTTGAAGTGAGCAGCATCTCTGAGAGCTGTGTCTGCGCTGCAACCAGCGAGCAGCACGGTACGAGCAAGATAAATCATTGCTGCACTGAGGGGGATCAAAGAGGAAAAGCGATCTCCTGACACTTCCAGGGGTGCTTTTATTGAGGTTAAGATACGTAATCCAGGACTCTGCGGGGAAATACCAAACCCCTGTGAGCCGTGGCTGCGGTGCCCTCCGTGCCACAGCGAGGTTGGGTCCTGCCCCTCTGCCCCACCTTGGTGCCCCAGCACGGATGGCAGCAGGGCCAGAGTGGGCACAGCTGTCCCGTGATGGTGCTCACAGGGGTCTTATGTTGAGGGAAGAGATGAGGATCTGACTCCATGCTTCAGCAGGCTTGATTTATTGTTTTATGATACATATTACATTAAAATGATACTAAAAGAATAGAAGAAAAGGTTCTCCTCAGAAGGCTGGCTAAGAATAGAATAGAAAGGAATGATAACAAAGGCAGCTGTCCCAGAGTCTCTGTCTGAGCCAGCTGAGTGTGATTGGCCATGAATTAGAAACAAGCACATGAGCCCAATCCCAGATGCACCTGTTGCATTCCACAGCAGCAGATAACCATTGGGTACATTTTGTTCCTGAGGCCTCTCAGCCTCTCGGGAGGAAGAACTCCTAAGGAAAGGATTTTCATCAAAAGATGTGTGTGACACTGTCCCAGGCCAGTGGCCATGCCTGGGGCTCCCGTCCTCACCGAGATGCCCAATGGACAGTGCCCGCAGCCCCAGGGTGAGCAGGTACAGCTCTCCATGGAACACAACCCCTGGCTGGCACCGAGAGGGGCACACGGAATGCCTGGGGCTGGCTGTTCCCCTTCCAGCGCCTGTTCCTGAGCTGGAGGTCCCACAGCTCCCATCCCACCCAGCTCTGTGCTGGCTGGCAGTGTCCCACCAGCCCTGGTTCCAGCTGCGTTCCTGAACTCCAGCGTTTGGATGCTTCCGTGCTTTCGTGCATCAATACCCTGGAAATGACACCAAATCCTTGGCAATGTTAAAAATACACATTTATTACTGCACGTGTGCAATGGCTTCCGACAGTATCTGCAAAAACACAACCTTGTCATAACTTAAATATTCTGTGATGTGGTAAAATTGTCATGCAAGAAAATTACGGGAATGTATTAACATAAAATACAAAGATATATTTACATATATCTGCACTGAAATAGTTTTTAAAAATACCCTCCCAAGGCAGCAGGATTTCAGTCCAGGGTCAAGTCCATATTACTGGTATTTTTGCTATTATTTTATTACTCTTAGACTCTTTTTGGCAAGCTCTGGAGTAATAGAGAATTGGCAACAGAAGAAACATCAGGACCTGACCTGCCATTTGTCTTATGCACAAAATTCCCAGGGAAGGCTGTGGAATTCAATGCAAACACTTAAAAATATGCAACTTTGCAAAACTTCGTAACACAACAGAGACAAGAAAACAATCTCATGGCAAGTGATTAAAGGAGAATAATTTATAGGTGCTGTAGACTTTTCACAGCAGATAATGGCACACACTGTATAAATCTGTCATACAAAAAAATACAGGTATTTAAATATTTATGTACAGAAAATTCCTGTGTTCTGGCTGTAGTGGAGGTGCAGCCCAGAGCTGTCAGTGACACCTTCCAAGCTGGGACATGGGACCAGGGCTCTGTCACAATTTCACTGTGAGGTTTGCTCAGCAGCAGCAGCAGCCAGGGCTCAGCCAGAACAAGGGCACCACCATGGGCACCACACGGGCACCACCATGGGCACCACCATGGGCACCACAGCCATCCCCAGCCCAGCCTGGGCCAGGGCCAGGGCCAGGGAACACCCACGGGAGTGGCACAGGGAGCAGAAAGGATCAGACCCCAGGACTGCATTGTGCATGGGATGAGCTGGACATGGGACACCCTGGCAGGAGCCACAAAGGTGTGTAGGGCCAACAGGACTGAGCTGGGCTCAGCTGGCACTGGCTCGTTACAGGGACACAGCAATGGGGACACAAGAGGGGCCCAGAGTGGGGCACGGGGGGCAGGAGCACTGAAACCCTCCACAGGGGTTCTGATAATAACACTGAGCTGTTGTCACTGTCGTTCCTATCATTTGTCCCTTTACCAATTGCTCTTTTTGTGCCATTTCTTCTCCAGGGACTGAGTGCAAACAGGTGGCAATGAACCCTTGTCCCCTATGGGCTCTGGTGAGGTTATGCCCAAATATTACTCTCGACCCAAACCAAGCACTTCAGTGCTGTGTCCAGGGTGTCTCTCCCACTCAGCACAGTGACCCCACAGCTCTGTGTCCTGGTGCTGGTCTCAGGGATTCAGGTTGAACAGTGTCCCCAGCACATCCCTGGGGATGCACTGCTGCATTCCAGAGGTGCTGCCCAGGCAGCCAGGACCCACCCAGAGTGTGTCCCCTGGGAAGGAGCCATTCCCTGGCATCCCCCAGAAGCCCTCCTGGCTTGTGCCAGGTGCTGCTGAGCTGTTTTGCACAATGCACTGGAGAAGAGGAGTGCTGCAAGGGGAACAGGTGAGCAACAGAGAGAGGGCTTGGGCTGAGAAGGCTCAGTTTCAGAATCAAGCCAGCTCCTCCCCACACACACCAACCCCCACCACAGGGCCCACTGTCTCTTGTCCTAAGGAGAGCGATGAAAACATCAACTACACACGTCCTGTAACTGCCAACACCTCTCCTGGCCTGAGCTCTGGCTGAAGAGGATGTATCTTCATCACCCATCTGTGGGATGGTTTGGTCAAAAAATCAGCACCACTCCTCGTCACTCCAATAGTCCAAAATTTTGCTGTTATTTACAGGAAGTTTCTAAATAGTGCAACGGAATTCACTGTAAAACCCTACCCACACTGCTGGAGTAAATCACCTGTAATTCATAACTCCTGAATAAATACATGGCTTGAGCCTGATCTGCTGTGCCAGGAGAGGGCTGGTGCTCCAGCTGGGAGATGTGGATGGAGACACAGGGTGAGCACAGAGCCCCAGCAGAGGACCAGGCTGCCCGTGTGGAGAGCAGGGGCTGCTCAGCACAGCAAAGGGGCCAGAGCAGCCCCTGCACACAAAGGTGAGCTCTGACAGGTGAGACAAGGTAATTGGGCCTCCCTGGTACCCAGTAAAGAGACAGGAAGTTACTGGGGGCAGAGAGGGCAGGTTCCCCAGCACAGCCTGGGGTCAGAGCCTGGGCAGGTGCCCTCCCGTGGCTGGGAGAAGGAGCAGGAGGACACAGTGATTTCAGCACTCTCTCAATGACTGGCCAAGCCCCCGAGCCATCATTAACACAGCTCCTAACGAGGCATGGGGTGTGCAGGACCCATGGCTGACACCAGGGACCCCGGGCCTGACAGCATCTCCTGGCTCTGCCCTGAAAATAACCATGCAGATATATCAAATAACTGGACAGAGAGCTGCAGCTGCCCTCCTCCTGCACAGCCCTAAAGACTTCCATGAAAACACATCTCTGCACAAGTGCAGCCACTGATTCCCACATAAAACTGTGGGAGACACACACGCCATGCCCTTGCCTGTGGAAGATCATTTTGTACCATTCTGCCTTTCTGGTTTGTTCATGGAAACAAAAACCGCAGCAAAACTGGTCCTGACAGAATCTGATCTGTTAAAAATATCTCCCATCCATTTCTGCACTGGGAATACCCAGCAGGGATGCAAACACTGCAGCCTGCCAGTGTCTGGCACAAACAGCTGCTGGTGGCTGATGGTGACTGTGCTCCCACCACGCACCTGGGGCAGTTGTGTGGCACCGCAGGGCTCGGGTTCACAGCAACCAAAAACCCCTCTGCAGCAGGTTCAACATCAATACAGTGAACGAGAAAGGCAACACCCACAGCTGGAGCAAGGGAAGATTTCCCGTCTTATTAAGAAGTTAAGACAGGTATTGGCAAATTATATACAGTACTTGTACTTTACACTGAAAATAAAGTAAATCGAAGGGTGAAATACGATATTCCTGTCTTTCATAACCAAGCAGCCTTGCAAGGCCACCCACTCTGCCTCCAACAAAACCTCAGCCTGTGATAAACTGTGTCCTCTGAACCTGGGCACATGGAGCCAGACCCTCCAACCCATCCCACAGCTCCTCGTTGCCTGAAGCAGCCATGTCAAGGAAGAAAACATTTTAAATGCATTTCAAATACACATTGAACCATCACCCAGCCCCTGAAGAATCCATGGAGTGCACACAAAACATTTATTTGCCTTCAGTCAGGAAAGGAACTGACAGGTGACACAGGGACAGGAGGTGCCTGGGACACCCATGTGCTGCAGGACCCAAGCAGCTGGAGGCTCCCAGGAGCTGGTGCCAGAGCCCCGGGGCTGCTCTGGTTTGCACAGGGATTGCCCATCCCCAGAGCAGCATTTGTGAACAGGGAGTGCCAAAGCCAAACTCACACCACCTCTTTGGCCTTCCTCCTTGCTCCTTGTCCCTCCCCATGGGGCCCAAGGACATGGCTTTGTTCCCTGTCCTCTCACTGCATTAAAAACGTGTAGATCAGCAACCTGACATTAAAACAGAAAGACAAAATGAGTTGATCTCCTCCCCTGACAAGTTGCATAGGCCGTATCTTCCCCTGACAGGCAGCCATGGTGCGGGGCTGGCCATCCATGGCCAGGGAAGTCCTGTGGCAATTTGGCTCCTGTGCAGGCCATCCATGGCCGGGGCAGTCCTGTGGCAATCTGGCTCCTCCAGCTCTCAGGGGGAGCTGGGCTGGGCAGGCCATCCATGGCCAGGGAAGTCCTGTGGCAATTTGGCTCCTGTGCAGGCCATCCATGGCCGGGGCAGCCCTGTGTGAATCTGGCTCCTGGGCTGGCCATCCATGGCCGGGGCAGTCCTGTGTGAATCTGGCTCCTGGGCAGGCCATCCATGGCCAGGGCAGTCCCGTGTGAATCTGGCGTGCTCCAGCTCCCAGGGCAGCTGCCGGTGCTGTGCGGTGGGCTCGGGTGCTCGGCGCACCTGAGGGCAGGTGAGGGCGGCGGCCGGCCCTGGCCTAGCTGCTGCCCGAGGAGCACACGGAGCTGCACATGTGCAGGGGCTCGGCCTCGGCCTCCTCGGTGGCCTCAGAGGCAGACACGGACTCGCTGGGCTGCTCCTGGCTCTTCTTTAGCCTGTGGGAGTGGAGGAACAGGAGTTACAGAGCTGCCCCCACAGCAAACACCCCAGCAGTGGGCAGGGCTCTGGGCCCCGTGCCCACTCCCTGCTCGGGAGGTGCCTACAGCAGAGACATGGAGAATGGAGTCCTCCCAGAGCTCACAAACGGGCCATGACACAGCCCAGCGTATCAGCTAACCACACTGAGCTGCTCTGAAACGCCCCAAAACAGCCTGTAAGGCTTCAGCCCACCCAGACCTTGGCCATGAGCACCCACAGCACAGCCGGGCTCCTGCCAACCCCTCCTGCACAGAGCCTGCCCCACGCTCTGCTTACAGACCCAGAAAGCAGCCCCAACCCTGGGGAAGCTGTGGCTTTAATCCAGCACTTTCACTGCCTGCTGATTCCCACCAGGGACCTCTCCAACCTGAATGATCCTGTGAATCTATTCTATGTGTTAAAGATCTCCACAATCATTGAGTCCAACCTTCCTCGCTTTCATTTCCCAAAACATCATCTGCTAAAAGCAGGATGGGTGAGCAGACGCCATGGGGGAATGGAGGCAGTGTCACACACACATGTCAAATCCCAGAAGTCTCTCTACAGCATATTTATTTAATGGTACTTAATAATCCTTGATCTTGCCTCCCGTTGTGGCTAGAGCCATTTTTCATCCACAGGCAGACCTGAGCTCCTCTGCTGACACCAGTCACCTGGGGCTAGGCTGGCAGCAAGGTGCTCCTGGCTGTCAGGCACTGGCACTGATTCCTGAGGGAAATCAGAAAAAGGAGTATTTTTCCATAAAAAAAACACCCCACACACTCACTTCTCTCTGTTGAAGATGACAAAGTCCTGCTGGATAGCTTCAAGGCATTCCTGGAGATAGTCATTTTCCTATTGAAGAAAAACAAAACATGCATAAGCAGCCCCATTTGTATCTCACTGCTGCCTGCAGCCCCCGGCACTCCCAGCTGTGGGCAGGAGCCCCCACGCTCCTGAACCTCAGCCCAACAGCTGGAGGCAGCAGGGCTGGCTGCCATGTGGCTTTCACCAGGGGCTGGTGCCATCCATGGCAGCAGTTTTCTATAAACACAGATCACACCGTTCCTGACATAAACATAACATGTTCCTCCATGTATCCTGTATTTTGGGAGTGCTGTCAGCCCAAAGGGAGCTCAGGCAGCGTGGGGAGACCCCAGCACACAGCCCACGTGTGGGAGTCCCTGCCAAGGCACACAGGGAGCTGCTGCCTCGTGCCCAGCCTGGGGCTGTGCAGGGACAGAGGCTGAACACACCAGACCTCTGCTGCTCATCTCACTTCCCAAAGTACCCACTACTGTGAAGTCTGATCAAACTCCCATAAGAGGATACGTGGTTGTTGGAATGACTCCATGGGCAAATGTTTTCACCAAAACAAACCCATGGCTCCAGCAGTGTGGCAGTAACAGCTGCAACACCCGCCCAGATCCAGCCCTTCCCAGCTGCATGTTACCCCAGGGAGCACATACAGACTGCGAGCTGTCTTTGCTGTTATCCCTTGACTTGTTCTTTGCGAGCCTCTTCTTCTTCTTGTGCAGGGGCCTTGACTCCAGAATCATCTCCTCCAGCTCGAAGGTGGGGTCGCAGTGCAGGCGGCCCTTCTGCCAGGACACAGACACACTCAGGTGAGGCGCAGCAGAGACCCAGCAACCCCTCCCTGCTCAGCAAAGCCCTGCTCTCTCTCACAGCGGCTCCTGCAGCGTGAGGAACAGCCCCAGCTCGGACAGGACAGGTCCCTACTCACGTTGGGGACGAAGGCCGGCTCCACGCGCTTCTCGCTCACGTCGCTCCACACCACGCCCGAGAGCTGAGCCGAGGCCTGGATGTGCGCCAGGCAGGAGAAGCGATGCTCGGGATTCACTGTCAGCAGCTGGGGAGGGAAAAGCATTGCTGACACAGCACTGGAGAGAGCAGCATCCCTGCCAGAGGAGGCAGGCAAGGCAGCCAGCAGCCCGGGCCAGCTGCAGGGCTCAGCCATGCCAAGGAGCCTTTCTGCTGGGGGAAATAGAGAACTTACTGCAGGAAAAGCGCCTAAGAAAATGTTCTGCGGGCACCCCAGCGCTCGGGGGGGACATGGGGGTCCCCTCCCGGCTGAGGGGGCTGCTGGCACATGCCTGGTGAGAGGCTGGATTCCCTGGCAGCCCGGCTGCCCAGCAGATGGCAATGCAAACCCACCGAATGTGCCGCCACAGCCTCTGCCAGCAACTCCTCATTAAACTGAATCTAATTATGCAAATTGCCCACCCAACATTAACTCATATCAGAGGCACTTATTTGCTGCCGGCACCGGCTGCACCTTTCCTACAGCAAACTCACCAGCTACTTTTCAGAGTTCTCAGGGAAGCCAGAGCTAAACCAGCTGCCCCAACCCATCCCAGCTTTCTGCAGCAGCAGCACAAGGAAAGCAGCAGAGCATTCCACAGAGCTGGAACCCCCAGCAGCTCTCACAACTCCGTCAGACCCTTCAGCCCCAAAAACAAGCAAGAGGGAGCAGCCAGTGCTGCAGTGCAGCTCCACCTTAGCTGCCATCCCAGCCAGAGGTGCTGCCTTTACAGGTGACACTGACCATGGAGAGGATGGGATGCTGGAAGGCACAATTCCAGCCCAGCTGGGAATCTGACTGTCACACCAAAACCAGCCTTTTTGCTCCCCTTGCTATCAAACATCATGCATCTTTTAACAGGGATAATAAACACACAACACACATAATTAATCATAGGGTCCCAGACTGGATTGGGCTGGAAGCTCACCCAGTGCCAGCCCTGCCATGGCTGGACAGCCCTCCCAGCCCCAATGTCCAGCCTGGCCTTGGGCACTGCCAGGGATCCAGGGGCAGCCCCAGCTGCTCTGGGCACCTGTGCCAGGCCTGCCCACCCTGCCAGGGAACAATTCCCAATTCCCAATATCCCATCCATCCCTGCCCTCTGGCACTGGCAGCCATTCCCTGGCTCCTGTCCCTCCATCCTTGTCCCCAGTTCCTCTGCAGCTTCTCCTGGAGCCCCTTTAGGCACTCCCACAAGGTCTCCCTGGAGCTTCTCTTCTCAAGGCTTAACATCCCTAACTCTCCCAGCCTGTTTTTCATATATTATTATTATTACTTAATTATTATTCATTGTTTATTAATATGCTGATAATTTTCCAGCCAGTCCTGCCTGCACAGCAGCTGCCATCCAACCCAAAGCCACCCCAGAAGGACAATTCATCCAACAATTCATCCAGCTGCACCCAGAAGGGCCCCTCACCTTGCGCAGCAGCGCGACCATTTCCTTGGACCAGGCTGAGGAGTACTGGACACTGACGGTGCTGAAGAGCTGCACCAGGGACTCCACGGGGTTGTTGGAGTGGATGTCGTACGGCCTCTGGGGACAAGAGCACAAGGGTGAGGCGTGCCCTGTCCCTCTGGGCCAGCCAGAGCACGCGTCCGAGGGCCGGGACGGCCGGAGCCCTACCCAGCCCCGCAGCAGCTCGTAGGCCATGATGCCCAGGGACCACCAGTCCACCTCGAAGGAATAGCCCGTCCCGCCGCTCAGGAAGGAGTGGAAAATCTCCGGGGCTGAGCAGAAAGGCAGAACACACAACAGGTTATTTGTTGTTCTCACTCCAGTACTTCATGTAAGTCAGCGCACAACACTTGCGGCGATTTTCCTGCTCAGCTGCCCCAGGGGAGGCTGTGTGAGGCAGGAGAACAGCAGCAGCAGCAGCAGCTGTGTGCCTGCCCTCACTGGGAACTGGGATGTCACCCACCTGCAGGGACAGCCCTCCCAGCACAGGACAGCACAACCATGGGGCCCAGGAGACACCAAGTGCAAGGCTGGAGCCAGAGAGGGATGGGGAGCGCAGGAGGAGGAGGCTGGATGGGATGAGGAGGGCAGGGCAGGATGGAGGGGACTGCACAGGGTGTAATGCAGAGGGCAGGCCAGGACAGGACAGGACAGGATGGGATGGGGCGACATGCCAGCCCCAATGCCTTCTCACTGGGAGTTCCTCTTCTCAAACAATCGGGCTCTGCTGAGCCACTTGGGCACGAGCACCAATGTCCCAAATTAACTGGAGGGCCCTGGCTGGGGCAGCGTGTGCTGAGCACGCAGAACATGACACAGGCACAGGGGCAGCAATTGTCTCTTACCCATGTATGGCTTTGTCCCAGCCAATGCTGTCGCTCTTTCCCCGTCCCTAATGATGGTTGCAATATTAAAATCTGTTAAATGGGCATGACCTTAAATAAAGACACATTTTAAGAAGGAATTAATGGCAGTGCAGTGGCAATGCAGAGTCAGAACACATTTGTTTCATAAGCGTCTGCCCTCAGACAGGGTAGCACAGACACAGGCAAGTCAGGGTCAGATCCCACAGTGTGGCCATGGGAGATCCCAAAGGTTTCCCAGGATTTGGGCTGGCCAGGTGATTAAAGGGTAAGGAGCTTTGGGTTTTGATTTTGAATCATCTACCCAGGGAGGTGGTGGAGTCACCATCCCTCGATGTGTTTAAAAAAAGACTGGATGTGGCACTTGGTGCCATGATCTAGTTGAGGTGTTAGAACATGGGTTGGACTCGATGATCTTAAAGGTCTCTTCCAACCTAGAAATTCTGTGATTCTGTGATTCTGTGAATCACACTTGGAGCAGCTTCAGCACTGGACAAATTGCTCGGGCCAGAAGCTACAGGAGTGAAAAGGACATCAGGGAAACACCATCATAGAACCACAGAATGCTTGGGTTGGGAGGGACCTAAAGATCATCTCATTCCAAGCTCCTGCCGTGAAGCTTCCACTAGGCATGGGTGCTCCAAGACACTGAAGCCATTGAATTACAGTGACTCCAAATTCCCAGGGCTGAAGTTGGGCTGAGCACAGCACACTGGACAGGCCAGTTGGGTGACCCTCCCCGCATTAAAAAGCACAGGGATGTTCAGGCAAACATGATCCAGTAAAAGCAGAGCAGCTTTTCCCACACTTTCCCCAGTGTGGGAAAAGATATCCAGTACCCAGGACTATAAGGAATCTGTCCCTGGAATGAATGAAGGAGCAAGCAAAGAGAAGCAGAGCGATCCTACCTTGTTCATCGAGGAGGATGTTGTCTGGTTTTACATCTCTGGGAAAAGAAGGAAGATTACAGCAGATGGAATCTCAGTCAGACCAGGGATGAGACTCAATGACAAAAATCCTGCAATTGTTTATCTATCAAAAATTAGGAACAAATTAAACAAAAATATTCTAACACGAGGCAAGCCCCTTTATGACGGACTAGAAATATGCTTTTCCTGGGCAACTTGGTGAAAAACTGGAAGGATTAGATTTGTTCAGAAAGGAAAGGTAATTCCCAAGGAAAAAGGAATAACAATACTGGGGATATTTGTGTGAAGCCCTGGATGGCTTAAACACCTGCCCTGAAATGTTCAGCCCCCAGTGAAGCATCAGACTCCCTCTGGGTGGTGGGGGCAGGAGCAGCACCATGAGCCAGCCCAGGCCAGCAGGGCAGGTGCAGCAGGTGCAGCAGGGCTGTGGAGTTACCTGTGGATGATGTGCTGGCTCCGCAGGTAGTCGAGGGCCAGAGCCATCTCACAGATGTAGAGTTTGACTGTCTCCTCAGTGAACTGCACGTTCTGCTGCAGGTGGTAGCGCAGGTCACCTCCCAGGAGCAGGTCCACCACCATGAACATGTCCTCCTCGTCCTGGAAGGAATACCTGCAGGACAGGGGAGTGGCTGAGCCTCCCGGGGCTCACAAACCCAGCCAGGCTTTTCCCCTCTCCTCATCACACAGCTCCAAGGAGAACGGTACGTGGCCCCACCATGGGCACAGAATCCCAGAATCGTTTGTGCTGTAAAAGCTCCCTCACACCTTCGAGTCCAACCATTCCCAGCGCTGCCAAGGTCAGCAATGACCATGTCCCCAGCTGCCACAACCACATGGCTTTTAAATCCCTCCAGGGATAGGCACCACCACCCCAGGCAGCTGTGCCAGAGCTGGGCAGCCCTTTCGGATAGAAAATTTTCCCTAATACCCACCCTGAGCTGCCCTGGCCCAGCCTGAGGCCGTTCCCTCTGCTCCTGGAGCAGAGCCCGACCCCCCCGGCTGTGCCCTCCTGGCAGGAGCTGTGCAGAGCCACAAGGGCCCCCTGAGCCTCCTCTGCTCCAGGCTCAGCCCCTGCCCAGTTCCTTCAGCCTCTCCTGGGGCTCCAGACCCTTCCCAGCTCCATTCCCTGCCCTGGACCTGCTTCAGCCCCTCAAGGTCCTTGCAGTGTTGGGCCCAAAATTGAAGATGCAGCTTTGCTGCTTGCACCTTCACAATCAAGCACATCCAGCTCAAGATGTTCACTTTTTTTTAAAATCATTCCTACATTAAGCAATGTTTCCCTGAAAGAGATGAGTATCCCAGGTAATGTTCCCCTGCTCACCCTGTCACTGTCCCTGAGCAGCTGTGCCATGTCAGCCCACCAGCACAGAGCTCAGGCTCTGCCAGCCAGACACTTCAGGGAAACTTCACATTTTCAACTGCAAACAATCTCATAAAACCTACTTAAAATATCTCAGCCTATCTGGAAGATGAATTGGAAAACTCAACTGCTAATTTAACCAGATAAACCAGGAAAAGAGATTTATATTTACTGTGGAGTAAACCGCCTCTCTAAATCTGCTGTGGGTCCCACGGGAGACTGACAGCAGTGGGGATACACCAAAACAACGCTCATTGTTATATTTGGTGACTGCACTTCCAAGGAAAGAGTATGTGGGATTGTATAATACTTATGAATCACTCACTTCTGCTCCCATCTTAAATGTAGGTTTATTCTAAAACTATGAGACGAAAGGGTTTGCCACGAGAGCAAGTTCTCTCCAGAATTTCATTGCTTGTTGGGAAAAACATTTGCAATTGCTAAGAAACCGAAAAATATCAATATTAACTCAATTGGCTATTCTGGAGCAATGGGTCAACAAAACAAATGTGACACATCACCCACTTCCATCACTTTGGGTATAAAACTTCCTCAATTTTTAAAAGTCTCCCCCTCCCTACCAGCCTGGCTCACATCCAGCACTGCTGGAGGGGAGGGGACCCTTCACTGGGCAGGAAGGCTGAGAAAGAACAGATCACTGGAGCCCAAGGTCTCTGCCTAGGGCTCACCCCAAACTAACCAACGACACTGGGATATAATGCTCTACTTTCCAAAACTGTAAATCAGTTTTTCCTGCAAAATTTGATAATGATGTGTCTGAGCTCCAAAGGAATGTGTTTTATTTGGCCAGTGAGTGTGATGCAAAGCGTGCCAAGGGATGCTGGTGGGCTGAAGGGTCAATGTGGTTGTAGGGCAGATGAGACAGACTGCAGCCTTTGGCACTGCCTAGACAGGATACATTTCCCAGGCATTGCCAACTCAAGCTATTTGTTAGATTTCAACCTGATTTTAAGAGTGTTTTTTAAAATTAGATGTTGCTCAGTAATGAGGATATTTCTGCCAGTACACACAGAGTGAAGTCAGTATTGAGCAACTTGAAATGCCAGTATTTGTAGTGATCTGCTGCTGAAAAAGTTATGAGAGCCCCTGGGATTATGGGGTGTGTGGCTCTGCAAGCCCTGCAGGCTGGGGAGGGAGCTGCTCACCAGAGATTGACCAGGAACACGTGCTCGATCTCCTGCAGGATCTCCAGCTCTCGGAACACGTTGCGCACCTCATCCCTCTCGATGCACTGCTGCTTGTTCATGTACTTCATGGCGTACATCTTCTCTGTGTCCCTCTTCTGCACTATGCACACCTGGGCCAGGAGGAGAAAACAGTCAGGAGCGTGCTCCACGTCCTCATCTGCTGCTTTGGGAGCTGAGAGCACCCTGCTCAGCATCTCACCCCTCAAACATCCCTGATCCCTAGGCTGACACTTCAACCTACGGACAGCAGCATCCCTGGCTCTGCTCCAGCGCTGCCCATCGGACACTGCAGCTGCCTCCAGGGCATGATGGCCAGCTCCAGAGAGCTTTCCAAAGGGACAGTGCTTCCAACAACTCTGTGGGAGCTGTGAGACACCTTTGGGCTCGCTGTGCCTGGATGGAAAGCGGTGTCAGGCAGCCACAGGGTTCCGTGCCAGCCTCGCCGCCCCGCTGCTCACAGTGCTGCTCCACAGGGCAGCTCTCACCTGCCCGCACATCACTGGGCTCCCAAAGGGGAAAATAATCCCTTCAGGCAGCAGAAAGCGACCAAAATGCAAACTGGTTATAACAACAAAGACCTGGCCCAGAGGGGCACCCCGGGCCTGTCTGCGGAGCCCCGCTCTGCCATGGGCATGGAGCCCCCATGCTGGCATGGAGCCCCCAGGCCTGTCCTCAGAGCCCCTGGGCTGGCACGGAGCCCCCAGGCCTGTCCCCAGAGCCCCTGGGCTGGCACGGAGCCCCCAGGCCTGTCCCCAGAGCCCCTGGGCTGGTACGGAGCCCCCAGGCCTGTCCTCAGAGCCCCTGGGCTGGCACGGAGCCCCCAGGCCTGTCCTCGGAGCCCCCAGGCTGGCACAGAGCCCCCAGGCCTGTCCTCAGAGCCCCTGGGCTGGCACGGAGCCCCCAGGCCTGTCCTCAGAGCCCCTGGGCTGGCACGGAGCCCCCAGGCCTGTCCTCGGAGCCCCCAGGCTGGCATGGAGCCCCCAGGCCTGTCCTCAGAGCCCCTGGGCTGGCATGGAGCCCCCAGGCCTGTCCTCGGAGCCCCCAGGCTGGCATGGAGCCCCCAGGCCTGTGCCCAGAGCCCCTGGGCTGGCACGGAGCCCCCAGGCCTGTCCTCGGAGCCCCTGGGCTGACACGGAGCCCCCAGGCCTGTCCTCAGAGCCCCTGGGCTGGCACAGAACTCCCAGGCCTGTCCTCAGAGCCCCCGGGCTGGCATGGAGCCCCCAGGCCTGTCCCCAGAGCCCCTGGGCTGGCACGGAGCCCCCAGGCCTGTCCTCGGAGCCCCTGGGCTGACACGGAGCCCCCAGGCCTGTCCTCAGAGCCCCTGGGCTGGCACAGAACTCCCAGGCCTGTCCTCAGAGCCCCCGGGCTGGCATGGAGCCCCCAGGCCTGTCCCCAGAGCCCCTGGGCTGGCACGGAGCCCCCAGGCCTGTCCTCAGAGCCCCTGGGCTGACACGGAGCCCCCAGGCCTGTCCTCAGAGCCCCTGGGCTGGCATGGAGCCCCCAGGCCTGTCCTCAGAGCCCCTGGGCTGACACGGAGCCCCCAGGCCTGTCCTCAGAGCCCCTGGGCTGGCATGGAGCCCCCAGGCCTGTCCTCAGAGCCCCTGGGCTGGCACAGAGTCCCCAGGCCTGTCCTCGGAGCCCCCGGGCTGGCACAGAGGCCCCAGGCTGGCCCTGCCGCCCCCCTCAGCTCCGCTAATGACACCTTCATTACCAAGGTGACTGCTTTCCCAAGAGCTAATTAGCTATCACGGTAACTCTTTTTAAATTACTAATGGCATGTCTACATCTGCTATAATTATGCCTGCCCTCTGTTAATTATCAGCCCTGGCGGTAATTAGGATGAGCTGGATACGCTCCCCGGGCAGCTCGGCCGGGGTGGCTGCAGGCAGGGAGTGGGTCCCGCTCACAGCGAGTGGAACAAGGACAGGGGATTTCTGTGGGTGGCAGGGAGCTGAGACAGGTGGGAGCCGCGAACGCTCGGCGCCTCTACACGCTGCCACTAATAACCATGTGCAAGTGCTAATGGTGCTCGGTATAATATCATCAAGGACACGCTGCCGCGAGGAGGTGACAAAATAATGGGTGGTTATCGTTAGCCTGATATACCCCCTAATTAGTGATGCACAGGAATTACCGCGATTATTTCCCGCCGTCGTTACAACTGCGGTGAGAGCTGAAAATCAGCTGTTGCCATAACTCTCTGCACACCTCAGAGCTCACAATAAGGACACTTCGTGGGCAGAGTGACCTGGGCTGTTTTCCTGCATCTGGACCCCTCCGGTGCCCATGGGCGAGCAGAGCCCTTCAACTCCAGCTGCCAGGGACTGTTCCAGGTACAAAACATAAGGGAAAACCTTCTTCATGCAAACTTAATAATAATAATAAACGACCTACCACAATGCACACCACCAGCAGGATCCAGCCCCTGCCTAGAGCAGGCTGAATGGTTGGTTATACATTCAATAAACCAGGCAAAAATATATTTTATAAATTCTTTGAGCAGCAAAGCCCTAACAATTTTCCTTTAAAACATGGTCATTGCTGTAGAACTGCTCTGAAAACAATCCAGTCCTCTGGGTAACAACCATCAAGGCACTGAGCAACATTCTCTCCTGATGTCAGCTTATTCCACATTATTGCTGGAAGATCATTAATTTCTAGGTCCTTTATTTTTTAAGTTGTGACTTGCTGTACCTTAATGAGTATTACATGTTATTCTGGTGTCATTTGTCTCTTGTTTCTCCACAGTGAAAATGGGAGCCCGGCATAATAAATGAGAAAATGATGAAAACTTCATGTACTCTGTAATTATGATAAACAGTTTTCTGCAATGGAACAGCATCACCTCCACTCAGAGCAGCACCAGTTCCGGGCACTCTGGGAATGTTTGTTCTCTGATTTCTGCGGGAAAAGTGGATGGCAGTGGAGAGGCTGCCCTGCAGCTGAGTCCATGGCGTGAGCAGGGGCTGCCCTGTGCCTGTGGGGCTGCCTGAGGGCACTATGAGCCCCAGGGCCCATGGACAGCTGGGCAGGGCACAGAGAGCCCCATGGAGAGCTGGGCAGGGCACAGAGAGCCCCATGGGCAGCTGGGCAGGGCACAGTGAGCCCCATGGACAGCTGGGCAGGGCACAGAGAGCCCCATGGAGAGCTGGACAAGGCAGAATGAGCCCCATGGCCCATGGGCATCTGGGCAGGGCACAGTGAGCCCCATGGGCAGCTGGGCAGGGCACAATGAGCCCCATGGGCAGCTGGGCAGGGCACAATGAGCCCCATGGAGAGCTGGGCAGGGCACAGAGAGCCCCATGGCCCATGACAGCTGGGCAGGGCACAATGAGCCCCAGGGCCCATGGAGAGCTGGGCAGGGCACAGTGAGCCCCATGGAGAGCTGGGCAGGGCACAATGAGCCCCATGGAGAGCTGGGCAGGGCACAGTGAGCCCCATGGAGAGCTGGGCAGGGCACAATGAGCCCCATGGAGAGCTGGGCAGGGCACAGTGAGCCCCATGGAGAGCTGGACAAGGCAGAATGAGCCCCATGGACAGCTGGGCTGGGCACAGTGAGCCCCATGGAGAGCTGGGCAGGGCACAGTGAGCCCCATGGAGAGCTGGGCAGGGCACAGTGAGCCCCATGGACAGCTGGGCAGGGCACAATGAGCCCCATGGCCCATGGAGAGCTGGGCAGGGCACAGTGAGCCCCATGGAGAGCTGGGCAGGGCACAGTGAGCCCCATGGACAGCTGGGCAGGGGTGCTGTGTCCGCAGCACAGCCACCAGCAGGTACTGATCACATCACACTGCTCTTGGTCAGGGTCTAACTTGGGTCAAACCAACACCAGGACCAGTGCTGGCGCTGCCTGGCTGGGCTCAGCCACTCGGTGCCCCTGCTTACAGAAATGCATCGATATGTTTGTGTCCCCCAAAATGGCAGTGACACAAAACCTATCTTTTTTCTTTTTGTGCTTCTCTGTTCATGCATCAGTTCCTGGGGAAGGAATAAACATCTATTTCGTCACAAGTCAAGAGTGCATTTTTTAAATTAATCCATTTTCAGGCAAGTCTACAATGCGGAGCAAGGCAAGAAGCAGAAACGACTGTCCTCGTTCTGCACATTGCAGCCACACAAAGGGAGTGTTTGGTGGTTAAATACAGCCATTAGGAGAACGAGTGGAACGGAGCCAGCCCTGCGAGGCAGAAGGCAGGCAGCAGCTGGGAGTGGATTGCTCAAGACACGGCACATAAAAGCTTTCAGAGAGCCCCAGACAGCCAGGCACGTGTGCAGCTGCCCATCCTGCAGGGATGGCTGGAGCCCCCACCCTCGACTCCAGCCAGGACAGGGGCAGGTGACACCTCCCGGGCGAGATAGTGACAATGCCTGTGCTGTCACAGTGACAAAACCTGTGCCATCACAGAGACAACACCTGAACTGTCACAGTGACAATACCTGTGCTGTCATAGTGACAATACCTGAGCTATCACAGTGACAATACCTGAACTGTCACAGAGACAACACCTGAGCTATCACAGTGACAACACCTGAACTGTCACAGTGACAACACCTGTGCCATCACAGTGACAACACCTGAACTGTCACAGTGACAAAACCTGAACTGTCACAGTGACAATGCCTGTGCTGTCACAGTGACAAAACCTGTGCCATCACAGAGACAACACCTGAACTGTCACAGTGACAATACCTGTGCTGTCATAGTGACAATACCTGAGCTATCACAGTGACAATACCTGAACTGTCACAGAGACAACACCTGAGCTATCACAGTGACAATACCTGAACTGTCACAGTGACAACACCTGTGCCATCACAGTGACAATACCTGAACTGTCACAGTGACAACACCTGTGTGTCACCCCAGCTGGCAGCTCAGCTGAATCCCTACCCTTCCCAGCCTGGCACGCTGCCTCCAGCAAACTCTGCCTTTTCTCCTTTAGAAAGCCAATAACTTTTTGCCCTGCTGATTCTGAAGGAATTCATCAGGCTGAAATCCCCTGATGAGAGGTCACCTAATCATCTGACAGCATGTCCTGACTTAGCCTTGCTATCCAGGGACAGCAGAGTGCTCCTGGACTCAAACAATGCCATTCTGGGCAGGATGCAT